CCAAAGTAGCACAGGAAGGGCAAGGCAGGAAAGGGGAAGCTGAAATTCAAATACCCTAACCACCTATTCTGGACAAAATCAAACAGATTAAATGGTTTTTCTTTTTTAGAAATAGTCTGCATTCTCACATTCCTGATTTGCTGTTTGAAATATTCCTGATTTACTCTGATAGTTCCCATTCTCCCATGAGCAATCCCTTATAGCATGAACTTCTGTTGTCAAGATGATGAGATATGTTCAACATATCTTGAACATATGTCAAGATATGTTCATTGTATTCCACTTGTTGTCAGACCAGCATTCCCAAACAGTATAAAAGCCACAGCCACTTAAAAATATATCTTCCTGGCTGGGCGCTGTGGCTCACGCCTGTAATCCTAGCACTCTGGGAGGCCAAGGCAGGCGGGCTGCTCAAGGTCAGGAGTTTGAAACCAGCCTGAGCAAGAGCGAGATCCCGTCTCTGCTATAAATAGAAAGAAATTCATTGGCCAACTAATATATATAGAAAAAAAAAATTAGCCGGGCATGGTGGCACATGCCCACCATGTAGTCCCAGCTACTTGGGAGGTGAGGCAGAAGGATCGCTTGAGTCCAGGAGATTGAGGTTGCTGTGAGCTAGGCTGACACCACAACACTCACTCTAGCCTGGGCAACAAAGTGAGACTCAAAAAAAAAATATATCTTCCTGACATATTTTTTGTTGGCAATGAAGAAGGGTTAGACTTTATTCATGTATCGGTATGACTGACTAATTGAAAGCATCAGGTTTGCATTAATTCTTTCCACAAGTATTTATTGAGTACCTATGGTGAGTACCTGTGTGAGATCCTGGGACACAGTGATCAAGTGGGTAGATCAATTCCCTGCTTAAAGAGAACTTTCCTATCTAATAAGGGATACAAAGAGGGGACCCTTGGGCCCCATGGGAAATGCAGGTAGGGCACGTGACCTAAATTTAGGATGCTGTGGAGAGCTCCTAGAAGTAACCTCTACCCTTACAGAGGGGTTCTCAACTTTGGTACTATTAACATTTGGGGCCAGTGAATTCTTTGATGTTGGGGCCATCCTGTGCATTGTAGGATGTTTAGCAACATACCTGGACTCTACCTATCAGATGCCACAATTTGTTGACAACAAAATATCTCCAGACATCGCTAAATGTCCTCTGGGGACAAACTGATTCCCAGTTGAGATCACTGATTCAGGTGGAGGATGAGGGAAGTTGTGGGGTATGGGAGAAGAAAGGGGTAGTAGGGTGGGAGAGAAAACCTGAGAGGTAAGAGGCAATCGCTGGTACCAAGATCCCTAAGGCGGCAAAGACCATGGCCCCACCGGGGGTGGGTGGGTGGCAGGTGCTAAGCTTGATATGAGAATGAAGAGATAACTAACATCATAACCTAGGGACCCTGATAAGTCATTATCAGCCCCGAGTTTGTATGAATTACCTATTGCTATGTAGGATGATTAACTTGATGTGTCAACTGGGCCATGGGGGTGCCCAGATATTTGGTCAAACATTATCTCTGGGTATTTCTGTGAGAATGTTTTGGATGAGTTTGACATTTAAGTCTATAGACTGAGTAAAGCAGATTGCCCTCCCTGGTGTGGGTGGGCCTCGTCTAATCAGTTGAAGGTCTCAATAGAACAAAAAAGACAGATCTTTCCCAGAATAGGAGGGAATTTCTCCCACTCAACTGCACCTGAGCTGACACGAGGGTGTTCTCCTGCCTTTATACCTGAACGGAAGCATCCGCTCTTCCAGTGACTCAAGCTTCCCGTCATTAATGGGGTCTGGAACTACGGCATTGGCTCTCCTGGTTCTCAGACCTTCAGACTTGGACAGGCATGACACATGAGCTCTTCGGGTCTCCAGCTTGCCAGCTGCAGGCTGTGACACTTATCAGCCTCCACAATCTCATGAGCCAATTGCTTATAGTTCACCTACGAATACATAGTGAGACACGTCCAGTTGGCTCTGTTCCTCTGGAGAATCCTGACTAATACGCTGTGTATAATGACAAATTATCTCAAAGCTTCTCCATATGAAGCAACAAGCCCTTATTACCTCGACAGCTTTTAAGAGTCAGGAATGCTGGAGCAGGTTAGCTGGGTGACTCAGGCATGGCATCTCTCAGGAGGTTTGAGTCGAGCTGCCAGCCAGGCTGCAGTCTCTGAAGATTTGAGTTGGTCTGGAAGGATCAGCGTCCAAGCTGGCCCTTCACAGGGGGCTGCTGCTCCTCCCTCGCGGGCCTCTCCTAAGGGCTTCTCACAGCACCGCTTCCTCCGGGGCAAGTGATCAAAGAGAAGACTCGCCTTTAAAACCAATTTGTACCCCTGTACTATTTTGAAATAAAAAAGCAAATAAAGGCTCCAAAATAATTATAAATAAATAAATACAATACAATACCATAACTCTGGCTTCTGCTTAGATCCAGAAGCAAAAGACAACAGAAGTCATCAATTGGTTTTGATCGGAGAGTTGCCATCAATATACAATTTGTCATATAAGCCCCTGGATAGTCAGAACGTGACTCTAATTACAGAGGAACTTAGTCTTTGCGTGGATCACAGTAACATGAAAGCACTAAGTGCATAATTAAACCAGCAAGTAATTGAACTAACTCTTTGTCTGAATGCAATAGCAGTAAAACCTGAGGCCCAGAGAAGCTAAAAGACAGAACTTCCGTTAAAGCTCAATGGACCTGAGAGAGCTCATCGTTCCTTTGCAAGGCCTTTCCACGGGAGATGGCAAAGGCCATCATGGCACCGTTCTTTGTTTTCATGTGTGGTCTGAGGAGTCTCAACTTCAAACTTTACTCTCAACTTGAAAATATTTTTATTTTACCTTTTGGGGTCTTGACCTCTTCTTATTTAAATTGGGAGTAATATCAGTGACAACTCTCATAGAAGTTCTTAAGGGAAATAAAAGAACCTACTACACATCAGTATGACTGTACAAGTGAAATAAACATAGACATTTAAGATAAACAAATCTAGAATTCGCAACTGGCATCATGCTTAAGATAGTTTTAAGTGTTTATCGCACTAGATGTCTATATTTCCTCTCAGCTCTAGAAGATTACTATAAACAGCAATTTATGTAGACTATCTAGCCATAAATCACAGAATCTTATAATGTGCTTGTTATCACACAATGGTCCCAAAATGCTCATCTTGCCCACCCCTACCCCAAATACCCATCTTGTTCTTTGGATGCAGGAATCCAGCCTTTTGCTGGAAACTGGCTTTGGAGTCCACTGATACAAAGATTGAAATGGGTTTCTTGAGGCACACAACCACCATCTGTGCCAATATTGAGCTGGGTCTGGGTTCCCCCAGTCTGCACCACAGTTGGGAAGTCCACTGTGGGCGGCAGTTGGCTGATGAGTAGAATTCAAGCATCCTCATGCCTTCATCCTCCTGAGTCCCTCTTCCCTATACCATCTGAGTAGGTACGCCCACACACCCCTTTCTTGAACTATCAGTTAGCCACTTAAAGATAATCATAAAGCACCTACATTCTCTTAGTTGTTGCTCATCACTTCTCTCTCTGACTGGTACCCCGAGCTTCTCTCTCCAGCCCTTTTTATTCCATGCATGATCAACCTCCTCTGCCTTCATTTCCCAAAGCAGGGCTAACACTAGGTTATAGCATGGAACAAACTTTCCTAAGGACAGGAGGATAACATTAGGGAATTATTACATTGAAAAGAAAAACTTCAGATTAGAGATTTGATCTCACTGCTCCTTAAATCTGTCTGCCTGTGTCTTTTCACATCGAGTTTCCTGCTGCCACTTCCCCTTGTAGCTCCCAGCCCATAGCCATAGTGCCAGCCCACCAATCCATGGGGACTCCCAATGACCCTCCCCATGGTCCTATCTCTAGAGCCCTTACATGCTTTCTCTACAGGCTCCAACCAAGAGAAGCAAAACTACCTACCCCCATCTCACAGAGACACTGTCTCCCCACAAGGAAGGTAACCTTTTGCATTTTTATGCAGAGCAGTTTAGCTCTTGTTTGTCCCAAAACTCTCCCTTCTGTAATAGGATTGCTATAGAACCCTAAGGCTCATGGAGATTTCCTTCATAATTGAAATGCAGTCTTCCCCAAAGACAGATTCTGCCACTCTATTTAGAACAGCAGGCTCAAATTTTAAATAACTTGGTTTTTGTACCCACTATAAGTACAAACCAATGGGCCAGGACTAGGCAGCCCAAGGAAAGGAGCAATTGCCCAGAGGAGCAGAGGTAGGCCGGGGCAAGCCAAGTCACAGTGACTGATGATAAGCAGAGACCTGGACAAGCTATATTGAAGCCAACTGAGGCAGTAGCAGGGAAGAAGAAAGGCAGGAAGGATCCCAGAAGCCAGGCAGAGTACCTGGAACCAGAGATGTGCAAATATGGAAAGATCAGTGCAGGAATAGACAAGGGCACAAGCTGAGAAGAAGTGTAATTAACTCCCAATGCCCTTCCTGGTTCCTAATCTCAAACTACCAAGAACTTCTGGTTGGCACATTTGTCTCTAGACAATGGTGACCAGCAGGGTGACATGGAAGGGGGAAATGGCATGTACCTTAAATATTGCGCATGCCACATATGACTCTTAACTATCCACTATTTGGGGGCATTTGATTGTGTCCCATTTTTAATTATAATCAATGAATTTTGTTTGTATGTGGGGTTTTTTTTCCCCTCAATCTTTCCATATATCCATGCTTATTTCCTTAGGATAAATTTTTAGAAGTAGAATGCTAGTTAAAAGAGTATGAAGATTTTTCTAATAGTGACATATGCCATCTAGGCACAAGAGGCAACCCTAGTTTTATCATAAATTTACTTTTTACTGAAGCTTGTGAGGAATCAGGTGATCATCACTGCTGAAGTTCCTACCCTCATTTAATTCTTCATCAGCTGAGGAGTTAAACATTCATCATAGAGGAAGTTGAAGTGCACTACGTTTGGAGGTGTTGAAATGATGGAAATTCTAGAGTTAGAACAAAGTGAAAGGAAAAGTGTTGAGGATGTAAGGGTATAAAGGCAGAGTCAGCCACCCAGCAAACAAATCATTCCTTCCATTCCACTCCTGAGCTAAACCTCCTCTTTAGAACAACACGATGCTCAAGGTATTGTGACATTTTATGTGGCTTATTTAAATTGCTTTTCTACCTTATTCTTCCTTTCTCAATTTTCTTAGTTGCCCTCTCCTTTTACGCGCTACCTTCTTCTGCTTCAAAAAAAAACAATGGCATTTAACTTTTCTCATAGCCTCTGGGCTACCTAATTAATGGCATGATGGTTTTCATCGGTGTTTTACAAATGAGAGACATGATTCTGTTGTATTAAATTAGGAAGAAAATGAATCATTGTAAGTTCGTTGACTTTTAACCTCCTAGTCTTATATGTGTCTATCATGACGTTGCCAGATTGCACTCCTAATTATCTGTCCACCGTCACCCACTGTCTCTTGCAGAAGATAAACTTTTTGAGGCAGAAGCCATAACATATTGGTTTGACATTCTAGAGAGCTTAGCACAGTGTTGGACACATAGCAAGAACTTGTGAAATATATTTATTCAATGACTTCATATTATGCCTTAATTTATACATTTATCACTGTATTTAAGTAAAAAGAGATTTAAATGCCGTGAGAAAGTCAAGCAGACCAGAAAGATATTTTAGAAATAGATGGATGCAAGGTTCACAGACAGCCAAGCAGCTGTGTGTGTATTTCCCTTATGTTCCCTTCCTCCGGGGGCCAGGAAGAGCCATGTGTTCTTTAGCACACGGGGTGATATTTAGGACTTGCGGGGGATCCCATGGGGGCCCCCCTTCCTAAGTCACCAGCAGCACTGTCCATGTCATGTGGATGGATGGCACAACCCCCTCCTGGGCTGCCCGTTGGAGCCCCACCTCCCACCTGCTCCCTGGGCATACACAGGTTTCCCCATAAAGCACCCTCAGGTCAGGTCTAACCCTGAAGAGCTGAGCAATCAGTCACTAAATGTCCTCAACTGGGGATTCGTGGAGGTAGAAAGAGGCATGAAAAAGAGGTAATTTTGCTGAGAACCAGGGATCCAACCAGTACTTGAAACTCTTAAGTTTTTTACTTGACAGATCATCGAGCCACTTCTTTCCCTTTCGTTCCTCCCTCCCTCTGCCCCTAACTATGTTTACCCAAATTTCTAGCAGCACGGAAATCAACATTATTGTTATTCTCCACCTCATCAGAAACTTCAGCCAGCACCCTTTCTCTCTCCCAGCCATCTTCTCTCCAGCTATCTCCCACTCCAAACTCCCCTTACCTTTCTATCAAAGCTGTCAGAGACATAAAAGTAGCCCATCCTTCTGAAAATTGCAGGCATTCCCTGATTGATAAATCTGGGGACTCTAACAATAGGACTAGTTAGTGGCCAGGTTGAAGGACTTTCAGCTGGGTCCTGCTACTTTCTCTGTGACACTGCCCTGGCACTGAGCTCAGCATCAGAAAGCCTCAGTCCCCTAATGCAATATCCCTCACCCTACAGCTAACCTTTTAAAATGAGGTATCTCAGCCGGGCTCAGTGGCTCACGCCTGTAATCCTAACATTCTGGGAGGCCGAAGCAGGTGGACTGCTTGAGGTCAGGAGTTCGAAACCAGCCTAAGCAACAGCGAGACCCCATCTCTACTAAAAATAGAAAGAAATGAATTGGCCAACTAATATATATAGAAAAAGTTAGCCGGGCATGGTGGCACATGCCTGTAGTCCCAGCTACTCGGGAGGCTGAGGCAGTAGGATTGCTTGAGCCCAGGAGTTTGAGGTTGCTGTGAGCTAGGGTGACACCACGGCACTCACTCTAGCCTGGGCAACACACCAAGACTCTGTCTCAAAAATAAATAAATAAATAGTAAAATAAAACGAGGTATCTGACTCAGAGAGACAGAGTAAGTTGTGCAATGATGTAATTACCAGAGCAAGAAAAGGAAGCAACCCAACATTTACCAAGTGGTCCTAAGTGCCAGGCATATGGTGACACCCGACTTAACATTGGATGTTTTTTAACTATACATAATAGGTGTCCTCTTGTGCAGACATGTAGAAAACAAAACAATTCTCTATGCATTGAAGAGTTTGATGGTTAAAGGAATTGCAACATACTCTACTGCTAATGAAATGCACATAATCCTGTAAATTTTTGTTATGGGGTCTGTGGGTAGAAGCAGAATGAATTTCTTCACTGGGATTACCACATATTCAACAAAGGCACACTGAGCCCATTATTTCCCCACCCAGACTCTGGGCTACTACAGCAGTCTCTTAACTGCCTTTCTCTACCCCCTCTAATCCATTCTCTACACGACAGTCTGTAGAGATCATTCCAAAACATAGATCTGACCTTGTCTCTACCTTTCTTGAGACAGCACTTTGGCTTCCTGTTGGCATCAAGGTCTTTAGCACGACGTAACATGCATCATTCAGTCCTAGGCTGCAAATCCATTCTCCCTCTCACCTCTGCCTCCTGCATGCAGCTCTGCAGCTGAAATGTGCCAAATCCCCTCCACCCTCTCATACCTCCAAGCTTTGGCTCACACTGCGACCTCTACCTTTAACCTCTGTCCTCATCCCCTGCATCGTCACCTGGCTGAGTCCTCTAAGTTTTCGTGACCAGATCAGGTGTCAATGTCTCCTGGCGGTCTCCACCAAAAGAAAGAGCAGGCAGTGGTTCTCAAGTAACATATGTAATTTTACATTTCCTAGTAACCATATTTTTAGAAGAAGAAACTAATGAGATTAATATTTTATTTATACTATGTTCCAATATATATACCATATATTTTATACATACTATATTCCAATATATCAATAATGTATTATCATATTATTGATATCATTATATTAAATATTGATTCAGCATGTAATCAATATTTTAAAAGTATTGAGATGCTTTATATTCTTTTTTCCTAAATTCAAAATTCAGTCTTGATTTTACTCTTATGACACATCTCAGTTTGGACTAGCCACATTTCAAGTGCTCAATGGCCACATGTGGAGAGTGGCTACCATGTCAGACATGAGAGCACCAGAGCACTTGGGAACCACCTGGAGATTCTAATGAAAAAAGAATCCTGTGCCCCGCTTCCAAAGGTTCTGTTTCTGGCAGGAGTCTAACTCTGGTGTCCTGGAGTGGTGACCAGAAATGTTCGCGTTCTGCAAGAATCCCAGGTAGCTCTCATAGGCATGTTCCCCAGATCGCACTTTAGGAAATTTGGGCTTAATAGCCAGATGCACTGATTTTGGAGTTAGACCTAGAGGGGTCTGCATCCAGAATCCGCCAGTTAAGGGCTGTGGAAATTGGTGGCTTCGGGTTTTCTAGGTCTCAGTCTCCTTACCTGCAAAAACACCTACCTAGAGACTTGTGGGTATGAAATGGATAATGTATTTGAAACACTCAGCACGCTATCTGGCACACATCTGAAAATGGCAGCTGTCTGAATGCGCCACACCCTCAGAAACCCCCATTACATGGACGGGGGGTCCTTCACATCACCCCCCGACTTTCTGTGCTTCCCTCCGCCCTCGCCCGTCACGGGCTGCCATCATCATTCGCTTGCTAGCCTGTTACGCCGCCTGACGGGGGACAGAAACTGGCTGCTGTGCACCCCACATCCTTGTGCCTCACACAGAGTGGCTGCTAGTACACATCAGTTTTTAGAAATTGAACTAAGTTTGGTCAACTGAGTTTCTTCTAGTGGAGCAAAACTCTACAAGAGAATTAAGTACAAAGTAGAGTATACAACTGTTCTAACACTCTCTCCTTTAAAGTCTGTCACAGAAAGCTTCGCCAAAGTGATCCATGGCTTGAAAGTGGGGCACCTGACTGATCAAGTCATTCAGAGGAGCAAGAGAATGATCCTGGATACCCTGGGCGTCGGGTTCCTGGGAACCAGCACGGATGTGTTTCACAAAGCCAGCCAATATAGTAAAGTAAGTCTACTTTAGAGATAGAATCAAGTATGCACACATGTGTTTTATCTACTCTATACTTAGTTTTATAGATAGTATTTGATATATATAGCATTGTTCTATGTAGTTTTATGATTTTCTGTGTTTCAGTATCTGAGTTTTACTATTCACCCACATCCTTTACTAAGTCATTGTCTTAAAACCATACACGAATAATATCTCACAGTTTATTATTGTGACTAAAAGCACATTTTAACCTGAAAGTCTTAGAAACAGTAGCACCTACCAAAGACCCTTTGTTCATGCAAAGACTTTAAGATCCTTTGGAGAAAAGACTGGTCGAGTACTCTGAGCAGAGAGTGGCCATGTATGTGTAAGATGTAACATCTGCTCTCTGTAGGATGTACTACTATACATGGCTAGCCCACCTTTCCTGGTATTTACCCCAAGGAGTAAATAAGAGTAAATTCAGGAGGCATGCATCCCTGGAGCACTTCTGCATTACAATATGGCATCAAGTGACAGCATCTCCTTGCCCTTCCATGGGAAAAGTCACATATTCTTCTACAAGGAAGAGAGAACCCAATGACTAAGGCTTCCTATCTTGCACACAGGGTTGAAGTAAGAAGTTTTCATCTAATGCATCCAAAGATGAAGAATAACTTTTGAAGTGATGACTGGTACGTTGTATCCACACTCTATATCACTAACTGATATTCTTTTGTTCCAGATCTATAGTTCCAACATATCCAGCACTGTTTGGGGTCAGCCGGACTTCAGGCTCCCGCCTACATATGCTGCCTTTGTCAACGGTGTGGCTGTAAGGAGGTTTTCATGTTTTTTTCAACTATTTGAATATCATAATAATTCTAGAGCCAGAAAATATCTCAGAAATCACCCAATTTCCATATCTTACAGATGATGTAATTGAAATCCTGAGAGAGAAAGTACCCTGCCCTCTCTCCAGTATACCAATTCAGTTCTCATACCATGTTTCCCCAAAATTAAGACAGGGCCTTATATTTATTTTTTCCTCAAGAAGACACCCTAGGGCTTATTTTCAGGAGATGTGTTATTTTTCCCTCAAAGCCTCAGCTTGCAGCACGCACAGGATGGCCGGGACCTGACAGGGGGAGCCGACCTTGTTGGTGGGGCTGCCCGCACCTTTCCGGTCACCTCTGGGATAGCAGCTGTCATGATGGGGCAGATGAGAAGGGCTGCTCATCTTCTTTACCGGTCCATGACGAAATGCATGGGTTGTGCAGATGTGCTGCGTAGCCACACCCATCACCAGGTCTTGTTTTTGGGGTAGGGCTTCTATTGCACAAATGCTTAGAAATCCTGCTAGGGCTTATTTTATGGGTAGGTCTTATTTTGAGGGAAACATGGTATTTTTATGGTAAGTTGATGCTTTTCAAACAAATTGTGTAGTAGAGGAAGTAAGATGAAAGGGGAAGGAGTTAGATAAAAATACTCCCAAGGTATCCCAACTCTAAACCTTGAATGTATATAGCAAAAAAAAAAAAAAAAAAAAACACCAAAAAACATAAAACCCAATATCCAGACACAATTTCTTCTCAGTTCTTTCTGTTGTGAGTGCCAGTTTCTATCCAGGAATGTGTCCTTCATTTATTCATTTATGTTTTCATTCAGTAGATACTTATTGAGAAAGGAACAATAGTCATATAGTGTATATTTTCTGAACCAAAACCCAGCACTTCTTAGCTGATAGATGATTTTTATGCTTTCTCTGTGTCAGGGGCAGTATCCTACAAGACATAATTTGGAAATGAACATGTTGGGATTTTTGAGATATTTTTATGGTTCATGAGGACAGTATCTCAGAATATTGAAAGTCAAACCCAACAGTGCATTCAGAAGTTAATGTCCAACAAGCAGTGGGAAATGTACCAGCCATATCAAATAGAAATAAAAATCTATTTTTAAATGAACTTCTGGCTATTACTAAGTATTTTCATACAAGTGAAAAGCAAATGGCTGGGATGAAGAGTAATAAAGCCTTAAAGAAAAAAGTAATGATTTTAAAATATAGCTTTATAGTTAATCTGGGTTTGAGAGTTCTTATGCTATTCTTGCAACTTCTTTATAAGTTTGAAATGACTTCAGAATAAAAAGGTAAAAAACTATATGGCCTCATATGGAATAAATGACATTGAACTTATAGGGCATCTGGTTTAAAGGATGGGGAGGGAGGAAGCAGCCACCATCTGATTCTGCAGCTTTGTTTTTAAAGGGGAATATAGATCTTTCCAGGGGCTGTGGCAGAGACAGCTCAGGCCACCTGAGTAAGACCCAAGCTCCATAGGGCTCACAAGCTGCTCTCCAAGGTCCTGCTTCCTCTGGGCAGAGGAACAGCAGGTCTCAGTGCCCAGCCACGATTAAAAACCACAGCCAGTTCTCCGGTTTTCTTTTCGGAGAATCAGATCAAAAAAATCTCCTATCAAATAAGATTATTGCTAAGCTAAGTCCTTACTGGTCTAAAAGCAATTGCATTCAGGGAAAATTTTGTTTTTGTTGTTTGTGTCTGTTTACACAGATCCACTCGATGGACTTTGATGACACGTGGCACCCTGCCACTCACCCTTCTGGGGCTGTCCTTCCTGTCCTCACGGCTTTATCAGAAGCCCTGCCTCAGAGTCCAAAGTTTTCTGGCCTCGATCTGCTGCTGGCTTTCAATGTTGGTATTGAAGTGCAAGGCCGATTAATGCATTTCTCCAAGGAAGCCAAAGACATACCAAAGAGGTATGGAGAGAATTTGTCCCGTTGAGAGGCAGCCACATTCCTCTTCATCTGTCAGTCATTACCTCTGTAGAGCTTTCAGACTTCAGCTGAGGCCAGCTCAGCTGAAGATGTTAGCATTAGTGCTGGCAGATAAGTCAATTCACCAGTCACATACGAAACCCTATATCCAGATGCAAAAGTGTGACTTCAGAAGTGCTAAGGAAAATTTTCCTTTGGGTTTAGAGAGCCAATCCATCATAATCATGAAATAAATTGGTGCCTTTCATCCCAGGGTGACTCATGTCATTCTGGAAACCATGACTACTCTGAGTATTCCTGATCCCAGCCTCAAAGCAGAATCTATTCTGATTTTTCCTAGAGTCCTTCAGACTAATGAGAACATTCAGAATATCCTAATCCTAACTGTTCATCTTGTAGATAAAAAATGGCCAAATGTTGGCCATTTCATTTGGTTCAATCTCATATTTATTTTGCCACTTAGCCTGCCAGGAGAGAAGTAAATTGAAATACTAGGTAGTAAAGTTTCACAATTTCTACAAGGCCTTCAATTCTTACAGTTACTTACCTTTCAACAATCAACAACTTGTACCTTTCTGGCAAATGGTAACAGTACCATTTATAAAGAACTCACTTTGTGTCAGACAATGTTGTAAACATGTGAATTCATTCAAGGCTCCCAAAACAACAAGAACTAGACATTATTATTATTATCACCATTTTATGTAAGAAAACAAAACAGGTATAAAGAAGTTGAATAACTTTTCCAAGATCACATCACACAGCTAATAAGTGGTAGAGCTGAGATGTGAACCTAGGTAGTACAACTCCATTATGGGTGCTCTTAACCACTATGCTGTACTGCCTTTCAGTGGGTAAGGCTTGTAAATCTCTAACTCTGCTTCTTTGCTTTTCAGATTCCATCCCCCTTCGGTGGTAGGAACTCTGGGTAGTGCTGCTGCTGCATCCAAGTTTTTAGGACTTAGCTTGACAAAATGCCAAGAGGCCCTGGCCATTGCTGTTTCTTATGCCGGGGCACCCATGGCAAATGCGGCCACTGAGACCAAGCCCCTTCATATTGGCAACGCTGCCAAGCACGGGATAGAAGCAGCTTTTCTGGCAATGCTGGGTCTCCAAGGAAACAAGCAGGCTTTGGACTTAGAGGCAGGATTTGGGGCCTTCTATGCCAACTATTCCCCAAAAGTCCTTCCAAACCTAGATTCCCACACTTGGCTGCTGGACCAGCAGGATGTGGCTATCAAGAGTTTTCCCGCACATCTGGCTACCCACTGGGTGGCAGATGCAGCCGCATCTGTGAGAAAGCACCTGGTAACAGAGACAGCCCTGTTCCCCACTGAGCACATCAAGAGGGTTGTGCTCAGGATTCCAAAGGTCCAGTATGTAAATAGACCCTTCCCAGACTCTGAGCACGAAGCCCGTCATTCCTTTCAGTATGTGGCCTGTGCCATGCTGCTGGATGGTGACATCACAGTCTCATCATTCCAAAAACACCAGATTAACAGGCCACAGGTGAGAGAGCTTCTCAGTAAGGTAGAGCTGGAGCACCCTCCAGACAACCTGCCAAGCTTCAACACACTGTATTGTGAAATAAGTGTCACCCTCAAGGATGGAACCACCTTCACCCATCGCTCTGATACTTTCTATGGTCACTGGAGGAAGCCTCTGAACCAGAAGGACCTAGAGGCAAAGTTCAGAGCCAATGCCTCCACGACACTGTCCTGTGACACAGTGGAAAGTCTTATAAAGATAGTAGAAAAACTGGAAGACCTAGAAGACTGTTCTGTGTTAACCACACTTCTCAAAGGATCCTCTACACCAGAGGCAGCTTCAAAATTATCCAGCATATAATAATTCCATTACACAATCTCTCCTGGGGTTTACCAACATCTGAAAGACTTTGTGTTTGGGGAGATTTTGATGATTTGCTGTGTAAAATAAGGGTCTGCTGTTTGTCTGCCTAGGAATAAATGAAGTAAGATGGATAGAGTCTAGAAACAGAACTACATATATTTGGAAAAGTAGTGTCCTATAAATTTTGCAGGACAGTTCAAATGACCTAAATCAAAATAATAAATATGCAAGAAACACACAAAAAAATGATTTTCTAAGCAATCAGAAGGATGAAATTCAAGTCACCTCTGATTTGCTTATAAAACTAATCTTTTCAGAGGAATTACTTTGAACTTTGTGAACCTCAAGGCTTTAGAAGAATGTGAACCCATATGTCTGTTTTCTGACAGTGGAGAAGGGCTCTGGTCTGCTGTGCCACCAACAGATTTCTTAGACCGTGGATTACTCCCGAGCCCTCCACAGTGCAAGGGGTGCTATTGGGGGATTAGTGGGTTCAAATCCTGCGTTGGCCACTTACTAGATGTGGCCTTGCACAGGTATCCCCCTGCCTTAATTTCTCAATTTGTAAAGAAGTTTTATCTTTTCTGGACATTCCATATAAATGGATTAATATATGTAGTCATGTGTGTCTGGCTTCTATCACTTAAGTAATGATTTTGAGATTCTTCCTCAAAATGTATTAGTTCTTCATGCCTTTTCTTTGCTGGGTAGTATTCCATTGTATGGATATGCCACAATTTGTTTACCCATTCACTAGTTAATAGGCAGTTGGATTGTTTCCAGTTATAAATTATAAATAGTGTTTCTGTAAACATTCACATATAAGTCTTTGTGTGGATATATGTTTCCATTTCTCTTGGATAGGTACCTATGAGTGGAAATGCTCAGTCATTTGATAAATATATGTGTAACTTTATTTAAAAAAAGAACTGTTTTCCAAAGTAGCTCTATCATGTTATATTTCCACCATCAATATGTAAGGGCTCCAGTTTCTCCTCATCTTCACCAACCCTTAGAATTGTCTTTTTTATTTTAGGCATTCTACTGAGTATGGTATCTCAGTGGTATCTAATTGTGGTTTTTAATTTGCATTTCCTTCATCACTAATTCTTGCCCATTCTTGTCAGTTCTTTTCATTGGGTTGTCTTCTTCTGGTTGAGTTATAAGAGTTCTTTATATATTCTGGGTATAAGTCCTTTATCAGATATATATTTTGTAAATATTTTCTCTGCTCTATGATTTGTCTTTTCACTTTTTTACTAGTGTCTCTTGAAAAGCAAAAGTTTTAAATTTTGATCAAATCCATGTTACCGTTTTTGAAAAATTTTATTGTTTCTTCTTTGGATATCTTCAGAAGACTTTTATTAAAAATCCAATTATATACTTTATAAAAGACACATAAGAATACAGAAAGGTTGAAGGTAAAAAGATGGGGAAATATGGATGGAATATTAACAAAAGAAAGCTGGGATGAGTAAATGTTAATATTAGACCAAGCAATACTAGAAATAAAGAGGATCACTACATAATGATAAAAAGTTCAAATTACTAGGTAACTGAAATAATCCTAAACCTATATATACCTAAATTACATTGAACTGCAAGAAGAAATAAATAAATCTACCACCATACTGAGATTTTTTAAAAACATTTCTCTCCTAACTCAGACTTGTGGGGGAGGGGGGGAAAGGGCATTTATTGAAACCTTAAAATCTGTACCCCCATAATATGCCGAAATAAAAAAAAAAAAACATTTCTCTCCTAGTAATTGATATTTCAAGGAAGCCAAAAATAAACAGACTATAAATTATTTAAACACAATCAGCATACACAACAGGAATTCTGTGCCCAACTAGAGAATTCACAATCTTTTAAAATTTTCATAAAACATTTACAAAAATGGACCATATACTGAGCCCAAAACCAAGTCTCAACAACTTTCAAAGGACTGAATCATTTTCTTATCTAATCACAGTGCAATGTAGTTTTAAAAAATCAATATTAAAAAGATAATTTCAAAAGCCCCAAATGTTTATAAAGTAAAGAAACATTCCCCTAAATAACTCTTAGATCACGGAAGAAATTATAATGAAAATTACAAAACACTGAGAATTAACCAATATCAAAATCATTACATATCAAACTTTGTAGGCTGTACCTAAAGCAGTACTTAGAGACATGTAGAATTTTCTATCACTGGCTCTGTGTTACTTGGATTATGCTGTTCCATAGGACACGTCATGTAATGCTGATGAATTTGTCTGAACACAACTGATTACAGAGGAGGTAGAAAAAGTGACTTCTACTGTGGCCTAGAGGCAAAATTTAATTATTGTCCTGTCTTGATTAATTTCCCAAGTTTCTGGGTGCATCTAAGGACTATTAATATTATTCTCAGATAGATATCTCAAGCCAACAGCAGGATTTGGGGAAGCCACTCTCCCAAGGGGGACAGCAGCATTCAGGGTCACCTGGATATCAGTATTATGCCCACTGAGTTAACTGAAGGCAGAATATGTGGGAGAATGTCGGTCTGCAGAGAGATCTTAACCACTAAGGTACGTGCTCGCCAGCCGAGAAACCTTGCCCACTCATAGTCTGCACGATAGTCTGTGCTGTGCATTGACGACAAATCCGTTTGGCTCTTGTGTGATGAGGAAAGCTTTAAAGCACTGAAAGCTCGTTTTACTTCACAGGCAGCTTTACTTGTAATGTAAATCAGAATAGGTAACATATACATATGTTTTTATTATGTTATTTTTAAATGTTCACAATTTTATTTTGATAAATGAAAAATTAGAAAAGTCAAGTTTTGTTATTAACGCTAAAGTTGACGCTTGGCTGTGAGCCTTCATATCATGGCTGTCGGCTAAAGTCTCTGTGCCCATTCATCTGTGGCTATCGACTGTAGTCGACGCTCGTACCAAAGTGGTTAAGACTCCTATTCCCTGGCAGGCCCACGTACCACGCATCCCCACTGCACCCTATGCACAAAAATAGAGAGAGGAAGAGAGGGGAGAGAAATTGACTCCCCACATTCCATTGTAGAAGGGTCAAAAGCTAGGGCATTTTTGAGCCAAGCACAAGTGGAGACCTTTTGTTGAAGGAAGAGCTGAGTCCTCTTATCTCTTCCTTCCATGAGGCTGAAGAACAAGCACTGCTTCTGAGCTGCCCATCCTGAGAAAGCTTGAGATGGGGGCTTAGACAACTCTGATCCAAAGTCTAGGCATTGTGGCAAATGCTTGCTTTTTCTTTTCCATGTCTTTGGGGGAGGGCAACAAAGATCACAGCAGAACTAAATGAAATAGAGAACAAAGAAACAATACAAAGGATTGATAAAATCAAAAGTTGGTTCTTCCAAATGCTAAACAAAATCGATAAATCCCTAGCTAGACTAACCAATAAAAGAGAAAAGATCCAAATAAACAGAATCAGAAATGAAAAAGGAGACATTTAATCTGGCCATTTGTTGTCTTCTTTTGAAAAATGTCTATTCACGTCCTTAGCCCATTTTTTTAATGGGGTTAATGATTGTTGTTGTTGAGTTGTTTGAATTCCTTTTACAATCTGAATATTAGTCCCCTGTTGAATATATAGTTTGCAAATATTTTCTCCCATTCTGCAGATTGTCTGTTCACTCTGTTGGTTATTTCTTTTGCTGTGCATTAATAGCAATATAGCTGAGAACCAAATCAAGAAGGTAATAGCTACTTGATTCACAATAGCTATATAAATATTTGCATTTATAATTCACAATAGAATTGTGATAAGATAGATAAGAAAAAAAAAAGATAAGACCAAGAAATGTATTTAACCAACAAGGTAAAAGATTTCTACAAGGAAAACTACAGAACAGTGATGAAAGAAATTGGAGATGACACAGACTAATGGAAAAATATCCCATGCTCACAGATCAGAATAATTAAACCGAACTGAATTATTAAACTACAAAGCTTATGCACAGGGGACTGACAGGGGACTAATATCTAGAATTTACAAGGAATTTAAACAACTCAACAACAACAACAACAATTAACTACATTAAAAAGTGGGCTAAAGATGTGAATACACATTTTTCAAAAGAAGATGAAGGGCCAAGAAGCATATGAAAAAATGTTCAACATCACTAATCAGAGAAATGCAAATTAAAACCACAATGAGATATCTTATACCAATCAGAATGGATTATTAAAAAGACAAAAAATAACAGGTGTTGGCTAGGACAGGGAGAAAAGGAAACTCTTATACACTGTTGGTGGGAATGTAAATTAGTGCAATCTCTATGGAAAACAGTCTGGAAATTTCTCAAAGAACTAAAAGTAGACCTACCCAGGCCTGTCCCCCTTGGCCTCTCATAGTGTCCCATGCCAGAGCAAACTGTGGCCCTGAACCATTGCCTGGCCTGTGCCCGTAGGCTGCTGGCACTGAAGTGGGTTGCACAGTGGAAAAATAAATAAATAAATAATAAAATAAAGTAGACCTACCATTCAATCCAGCAATCCCAAAGGAAATCAAAATATAAAAATGATATCTGCACTCATATGTTTATTACAGCACTGACATGGAATCAACCTAAGTATCCATCAACAGAGGATTAGATAAAGACAATGTGGTATATATATACAATGGAATACTATTATAAATACTATAAATTATAGTATTATATATATATGTAATAGTATTATAAATACTATTATAAATACTATTCAGCTATGAAAAGGAATGGAGGCCAGACGCAGTGGCTCACGCCTGTAATCCAGCACTCTGGGAGGCCGAGGCAGGCAGATTGTTTGAGGTCAGGAGTTCGAAACCAGCCTGATCAAGAGCGAGACCCCGTCTCTACTATACATAGAAAGAAATTAATTGACCAACTAATATATATTTACAAAAAAAATTAGCCGGCCATGGTGGCCCATGCCTGTAGTCCCAGCAACTTGGGAGGCTGAGGCAGGAGGATTGCTTGAGCCCAGGAGTTTGAGGTTGCTGTGAGCTAGGCTGATGCCACTTACTCTAGCCTGGACAACAAAGTGAGACTCTGTCTAAAAAAAGAAAAAGAAAAAGAAAAGAAAGAAAGAAAGAAAAAGGAATGGAATCATCATATCTTTTCACCAACATGGATGGAACTGGAGGCCATTATCTTAAGTGAAACAACTCAGACACAGAAAGACAAATAATGTATGTTCTCACTTATAAGCAGGAGCTAAATAACGTGTACTCATGGAAGTAGAGTGTGAAATGATGGACAACAGAGACTCAGAGGGATGCAGAATGGGGAAGGGATGGATGGGGAAGGGATGGATGAGGCAAGGTTGCTTGGTGGGTACAATGTGATTCGGTGATGTATGAATTGAAGGCCCTGACTTCACCACAATGCAACGTATCAATGTAGAACAATTGCACTTGTATACCATGAATATATACAAATAAAAAATAAATAGAAAAAAATAAAGTACCTCATCAAGTGATAAGAGTATATAATTCATTTGGTAGGAGCTAAAAGAGTTTGACTCCAACAATTTCTTCTAAATATTATAGCCCAACCACTATTTTTCAAGCATGCTGGAAAATATCCCTGCTATTTTTTCTATTCCATCAAAATACCATGCAGAGAGCTGGGTGCCGTGTAGTCCCAGGCATTGAGGAGGCTGAGGCAGGAGGATCACTTAAAGGATTGATTGAGCCCAAAAGTTTGAGGCAGTAGTGCACTGTGATTGCAAGTGTGAACAGCCACTGCACTCTAGCCTGGGCAACATAGTGACATACCATCTTTTAAAAAAACAACCATGCAAAAAATCATGTGCCATGAATGTACACATTGATGCCATCTTGTTGAAGCAATCCCATAGGATACTCACATCCATGTGAGTACATTTAGGCTTCTGTATGGCAGTGGCATGGCTCTGTCCATCATCAGCAAACCTATCAGAAGAAAAGATCTAGCTGACTGGGAAAAAAAGTTTCTGGGACACCTGACAGCGCGACTGTGCACAGATCACCAGCCCACACCAGCCTCCCACACACTGCAAAGTTCAGAACAAATGCTCACAGGCACTGTGCACGTAAGATATCTGCTCCAATGTGAGACTTCACTTAAATATCCAGTTAGTAAGATAAATGAAGGCTAAATGCATCAGGATGAATAGGAAATAATTAAAGCAAGCACAATTTGATCCATATAGCTGAATGACATAACACAAGAGAATCACTACATTGGAATTTTTTTTCTTAT